TAGTAACGATAGGCCCGTTAGCTTAACTAGTGCAGTTGTTAAACTGATGGAAAAAATCACTCGAATATCTGTTATAAACCATGTTGAAGGTCATAATCTTTTCTCCAGGGAACAACATGGTTTTCGGAGAGGCCTATCTTGCTTGACAAATCTTCTCATTGCAAGAGAAGATTGAGCTGCTGCAAAAGATCAGAATATACCTGTGGATGTGATCTACATAGATCTAAGTAAGGCCTTCGATAAAGTCTCCCACTCTGGTCTTAGATTCAAACTGGAACGTTTTGGAATCCATTATACAGCAGTAGATTAGATAAGTAACTTTATGCATGAGAAGAGACAAAGGGTGAGGATGAATGGGGCTCTCTCTTCGTGGGTACCTGTGGAAAGTGGAGCTCCCCAAGGTACCATCCTCGGTCCTCTTCTCTTTTTACATTACGTAAATGAATTTCCAACTATAGCGAAATCATCCGTCCTACTCTTCGCTGATGACATAAAGATTTGGAGACCCATACATAATATGTTGGATAAGATAGTATTACAGAATGTTCTTAGCTCATTGGTGGTATGGTTGGACAGATGGTCATCAGAAGAAAATCCTAATAAGAGTGTAGTGATGAAAATAAATAACTATGATGAATCGTATCACTACACAATATGTGGATTAGTGTTACCCAAAGTAAGAAACTATAAAGATTTAGGAGTCATATTAAGCAGTGATCTCAAGACCACTAGTCACTGTAAGGTTGCTGCTACGAAAGGCTATAGGGTATTATGGTCTATTTTTAGGTCTTTCTAGTATTTAGATGATGAAATATTTAAACTATTATACCCGATTTATGTGCGATCACATTTAGAATATGGGATCCAAGCAGCGAGCCCTTGTTTCACGTATGGAGCGGAGATGCTGGAAAGAGTCCAACGACGAGGTACTAAGGTGATACAAGGTCTATCTGACCTATTATATGAAGACAAATTGAGACACCTCAACTTAGTTCCGTTATCTTACAGTAGAGTACGGGGTGATCAATATTGGCTTATCGTACACTGAACGATGACCATGGCATTAACATGTCTTATCTCTTGCTTCCGTCTAGGACCGATCATTTGAGAGGACATTCGGAATTCAAAAACCGAGATCAAATCGTTTACGTCTGGAGTTTCGCTTCTCGCATTGAGTGGTGAATTACTGGAATTCTCTACCGGAACACTTAATATCAGCACCTTCTGTTGATATATTCAAAACGAGATTGGACCTCCACAGTATTACAAATGCAAGGATTAATATAGGTCGATAGACCTCCTATCCTTATTGCTGAAGACTGAAAAAGTCGACGGATAGAGCCTTAACCACGTACTGAGGTAATGAATTTTTCGTGCCTTAAGGTAACCCTCGTGCTATTGATAGAAGAATCCAGACAAGTAGTGAATAGGTCTTTATTTCGATCTTCGCGCAGTCACAGTGGAGCATGGGGTTATTTAATTAGACAAACAAAGCCCCTCAACATTCAATATAAGATAATAGGAAATATAACGCTTATACAAAATAAAGAAGTGAATAAATATTTGAACTATATTGTTTTGGCATATGCTTGGTTGTTTGAGGTGAACTCTTAACCAACCAACCAACCAACCAATGCTGTTACATTAACTTCCCCCAGAATCGACTTCCGTAGGAACGTCGATTCCTAAGATAGGGAGAGGACGGAATTGTAGGTAATTTGATACATGCTATACAACAAGCCACTCAAACAATATTAGTACCAAAGTTGTCACTACAGTAGAAGAATATGGCCTTCGATCATATGGCTGAAGATGGCACACGTATTCAGTGTTTGACAACGCTTTTGCCAGCAACACCTTCGAATATAATTCGTACCCATCAAGAGAAATCAAAAGACGGAGTCGAGGAGATCGGAAGAGTGTATTTGGCGATAACCAATATATCGGAATTGTCTGATCTAATCTGGCTAGTGATTGTGATAGATGTTGAGCAGGGCGTTACCACACGTGATCTGGTGCGAATGCATGACCGAGCGCCTTCGGCTAAGTGAGTCCATTAAAACATGTGGTCAGCATCCAATGTCGAAAACTTACAGAGCTATTTATTTTTGGGATTTATTTACCGCTACAGGCAATTTAGCGAACTAAAAAAACATGATAACCAATCAGAGGGCAAAAGTCATTAAGAAAACCCAATTAGTAGAAAGTATGCCAGCGACTGGCGTCCTGGGAGAGATCTTAGCCCTTCTAATAAAGTCCACTGTAGCAATCTTATATCTTCTAAGTGTTCTGACTTCATGGAGTTATGGTTAAACATGCGAGCGATCATACGGGATTTAACGTGAAAATAAACTCACACCATAAATGAAAGTTCTGGCAAAGGATTTCTGAATCAGTTGTTACAACTGTTTTTTAATGGCATATCGAACGAGATAGTAATGTGAAAAACTATCGACAGAACTTTTAAACATAGATATTTACATTTGGAACTATCACTAAATGTAAACTTAGTAACCTATAAGAGTCTATTAGCGTTCAACTTACATGAGTGCCTTGAGATTAGATAAATGCAACACAGACCTATTACTTTGTGGATGAAAAAATGGTTAGCTTAGACGTAAGCTTAAATGGCGCAAATGATGAACGTTGTGAATGCAACACAAGCAAAAGGAAATAAAAATTATAATAAGATATTACTAGAATGCGAGGGACAGTTAATGAGATCTTCGTATGAATTGGTGAAAACTTACAATGAACTCCAATTAGAGTATAGCATTAGGTATAACCACACAAAAAAAAGGAAAATTTTCGGAACCATTGGCCTTTTTAAAACACCTTTATTTACATGGATGACTATAGTCTAAGTTGGATTGTTCGGTTACGAGCTCATCCCTCATTTTAATACTTTAGTTATAGTCTATATACTTCCTACTGTAAGGTTTACATGGTGACTGAGGTGATGTGACTCTTTCCCCGAAGGACAAGTCAAATAATTTTAATTTCTTTCTGGATATTGAACACGTAAGAACGCAGTCTCCTTAAAGTATTGAATAAATCAGATGAATGCAGGCAACGAGACCTGCTGAAATTCATAGGTGGAACTTAAACATTTCATTGAAAATCCTTTATGTTTTTGCTCCAGGCTGTTCACAAACGATGGTGTTATAGAGACTAGAAGGATGTTACACTTAGTCCTCTCTCCGGAAGAGTTACGCGACATAATCTTCAAAAATGCCTTCCTGTAGCTGTGATTGGCATATTCTTCAGGTCTCAGGACAGTATCTCACTATGATTACTCAAGGTCATAGTTTACACCAGGCGCTCTACAGGCCTACTTCATAACAACTATAAACCTAAAAAATTGTATCGCGTAGATACTTAGCAGGACCAGAATTATAACACAATTATGCTGAGATTGGATCTAGTGTGTAATGTGGACGCGATGACATCTTGAAAAATATTTTGAAGACTGTACTCAGTGTAGTACTAAATCATAAACCTAACCATTAACGCTCCAAGACGTCTGCACGAATGTACTGTCATTCACGTTTTTGATCATATCTATTAAACGACGCTACTTGGTAAATACAATGTGACTCAACAAATGTTGTAATTTGTAGATCATGCCTGCAAAAATGGCGTCAGGGATTAACTACTACAACGTACAGAAACCTGTTGAGCAAAAGCCACCTACTTCCTATCCAGAACCATTCGAACCTTCTTACGGAAAGTAAACAAAAAGTATTGGTTGTCTGTCTGGCAAGTGATACTTACTAGAACCACTATTAGAGATACTGCTTTGGTGTTAGCGTTACTCCTCTTATTTGCCAGTTATCTTTCTGGTTTTGTTATGTGCTAACGATACGGAGATATGAAAGTGGTTCAAAATAAAAAAGATCAATCAGAGTTTCTGAAAGATCCCAAGAAGTTATCAGAACGACTGAGTATTTAGAAAGCTCTAATTAAGGTTATAAGGTGTATGATGAAGCATGTTGGTCACCAAGGCAGAAGCAGATACACACTTATTGGTTTTAGGTTACGCGTCGCTCGGGAGCACAATGTTTTCGTCAAAACGTGAGTATATAACGGAGAGACAGTTATTATCTGAAGTACTTAAGCTTTTGGGAAAATGTAAACAACATCGGCTGAGTTGATACTAGGGACATAGATGCTGCTGTATGGGAAGAGCCTGGACAGACTCATTTTATTCCACTTATCTTACTCAAAAACTGAGGTAACTCATTGATGATCCATTGGTTACAAAAATAAAACTTTGCATAAAGTCAACTCCATTTTTTCTTTTGAAAAAGGTTGACGACGGGATTCCAAGAAATCTCTCAAGCCAAGAACCAGTAACTTGATGCTTGAATGCCGGGTTTGTAGTCAAGAAATCAACATGTGGAACTCTTTCTCTCAGTAGGTAGTTGGAGATGCTTCGGTTAACATACCCCCAAGAAGGTTGCAAAAACGTCACAAGTTTTCGGAGTTTGACAATACTTTAATGAGTAACATTTTTCATAACCAGGACTTGTCAGTCCAGTGAAATCAGAAGTCAGAAGCGAAGTGGTTCGAAGATATATTTGGTAGGCTGTCGATATATCGAGAAGTGACTATTCTAAGCTGGCTAGCGGTTTTACGAGAGGTAAAGCATGGTGTACTAACCTGTGATCTGGTGCCGAGAGTCTTCAGCTAGGCTAGTCCATCAAGACTAATGCGTTCAGCATCAGATGTCAAGGACTTACGGAGCTATTTAATTTGTGGATTTATTTACGATTACAATTGAATCAAATGAGACTATTGGACGAGGACCAACACATGACATTCAGTGACCTATCCTTACTCATTCTCATTTGAAAGTGTACATTTATGGGGTGCAATGATATTTGAATAACTGTGATGAAGTGATATTTTTGTTATAGTGCTTCAGAAGTTCGAATCTCAGTAATTTTACTTTTGGCGCGTTGGTACGCACGCGTGGTTCGTCCTTATATCTGCGCACAATGGTCGTAAAAAAAGAAGTTAAGGAGAAAACAAATAACCCGATGCGAGAAATAAAAATCCAGAAGCTATGCCTTGATATCTGCGTTGGAGAAAGCGGTGACAGACTAACTCGAGCTGCCAAAGTTTTAGAGCAATTGACTGGTCAGCAACCCGTTTTCAGTAAAGCACATAAGACTATCAGGAGTTTTTCGATCAGACGTAATGAAAAAATTGCTGTCCATTGTACTGTGCGGGGTCCAAAAGCAGAGGGTACGGCAGTTTAATCCCTAATTTTTCAGAAATTTTGGAAAAGGGTCTAAAGGTGAAGGAATACGAGCTTCCTAAATCATGCTTCAGTAAAACCGGAAACTTCGGCTTTGGATTGACCGAACATATTGATCTTGGATTAAAATACGATCCCGCTATTGGGATTTATGGAATGAACTTCTACGTCATTTTAGGCAGACCTGGGATGCGCGTTAGATATCGGTAATTGTACCTTCGGTTACTAAATTTTTGAACTAGACGTCGTTGTCAAAGCCGGGTTGGCAATAGTCATCATGTCCAAAAGGAGGAAGCTATGAAATGGTTCCAAACAAAGTTTGATGGTATTTTGTTAAACAAATAATTTAAAGAGGAAATTCTGGTATTTGTTATCTGGTTCTTATTTGTCGTGGCAATTCTTAAAATTAGCTTGTAATTTGGGTGTTTAACTATTGAATCCTTGTTGATCAGTTAGTGTAAGCGTAAATCCGTTTATACATGTTTCGATGATCATATAGCTTATCAAGTCGTTTTTGTAGTTGATGTATATGCTCAACCGTTTAGTTTACCTAAACTACTGCCCACAACATGATGTATATGCTCATCCGTTTAGTTTACCTAAACTACTGCTCACAAGATGTAGCTTCTGTATATGTTGTTGCTACGAGTAGATGGGTAATAAGGCCTTTATAATGATCAGATTCCTTGGTTTTTTCTTGATACATGATTGTGGCTTCGTAAATAAATTATAAAGTAGAAATTTGTCATTGGTGTAATATCTTGAGACAATCAAGTTTTACAACTCAGCTGTCAAATGGTCTTTGACTATTATGATGCATTATTGTGAAATGTTGGTCTGTCTGTTGAGTATAATATCTACCGACAGCTTACATGTTAACCTTTCTACAATATAGCAGTCAGACAATAACAGTGTAATAGTGTCTACATTCTTGTCACAGCTTAGGAATGATAATTCAGGTGATATCTCGATTCATGAATTCCTATCTGGAAATGCCGAAAAGTTGAAGATAAATATTACACTTAAATATCTAACCATTCAATTAGTTGTAAAAGGTTCAGTAGTCACAGCTACATATTTGAGGAACCATATAGTCTATGTTGTCTGATCTCTTACTTAGTTTTATCGAATATGGAGTTATAGCCACACATTTTGATCGTGGCAAAAGTTCAGTATATTAAACAAAGTACTAGAGTTGTAATTAGAGTTTTGGCTGCTACCGAGCCTATATACGCTTTGATTTGGCAGTCAACCAAAAATACTCGTAGCATAAAAAACGGACCTTATCAGCTAGCACTGTATTATACTAAAATAACTTATAATAGTCTTTCGAAGCGTTGGCAGTATTACAGATAGCTATTAGTAAGTCGATTTTGGCGTAGGGTATCTAGATTAGTCAAGACTATTTGGTTGGTATTCGAACCTACACCGAGATCAGTGGTTGCAGACATTGAGTGATAACCTAGTCATTGGCGCAAATATATGCACTCGTTTTAGTCCTTTAAATGCTTATTTCTGTTATGTCGTCACACGTTGCTGTCAATCTTCTCGGACTTACTTACTTACTTACTTACTTACACCTGTTGCTCCTCGTGAAGGAGCATAGGTCGCTCACCAGCATTCTCCATCCAACCCTGTCCTGGGCAATACTTTCCAGCTCCTTCCAGTTGTAATTCATCCTTTTCATATCTGCTTCTATTATCCGACGTAATGTGTTCTTTGGCCTTCCTCTTTTCCGCTTCTCGGACCAGCTTCTTAATTTTCAATTTTACGTATTACTATTGCTGTATTCTCTCGGCACACCTGTTACTCATCTTAAGTTGTCTTGTGCTAGTGTTTATGGAAATCCAGCTCAATCCTCGTTTGTACCAAACTCATCGCTGATAACGTCTGATTGTTGGTAGTTAGGGGGTAAAATATATTATTCCTCGGCCCATCACCGCCTTCCAATCTGACTTTTCCAGCAGTACCATTATCCAAATATGCTTCACACTATTATTAGGTAGAGCATTCCATACAAGTGGTTTGAGATAATGGTAAAAATTGAATGACTCGCTATATTGAACCAGTAATTATTTGTGAAAATAACGTCGCGTATATGTTCGATTAGTATTTTTATCATACACATCTTCGGTGTAGTGTATATTCGTTAGTAAAGTCTCGAATTTCTGCAAGTTGTGGCAAACTTCGGGACTAGTTGCAACTGGTCATTATTGTCGGTGCTTTTAAACAGTTCAGTTAGGTCCCACTGTCGTGCTTAATATGTATGCTTGTTTGAGGGCTAATTGCTTGGCTGATAATTTCATTCCCAACCAAATGTCGGAATTGAACTAGTAAGCAACAAAGATAATCTCTGATTAGAAGTGTTGTGCCTGGTTTTAAGCATTAGGACGAGTTTCGGTTTGGTCACTCGGGCAGTATCACAGTCCTCACACATCAAATGAGATCTGTGTGGCGCATGCGTATTTCGTGCATCGTACCAATATCTGTGTTGAAATAATAATGCTAGGACGAGCGGGCTGCTATGTAATCTGATTAGTGGTGTTAGTCGTTGAAAGACTTTTCACTTATGAAAATAGTAATGGTTTCAAAGTTATGCAGTAATGGCACCAGACTGAGTGATTAGTTTATCTTACTGTAAGTGATAGAATGTTGGTTGGGATATCAACAAGCTATCTTGTCACAATTCGATTGGGATATGGACTTCAGTATTCTTGGGAGACAATTCTGTGCTGTAAATAATTGCAGGAAACAAAGCGGTTGGCCTTCTGCATTGGGACCTATTAGCCTATAAAATTTGTGGGAATATGTGGACTAGTTATAAATGATTTATTGTAAGGTATGAACCTACTTACGATTTGTCTCGTTTTGGAAATTTTTATTCCTATTATTGGATCCACTATACATAACCATCGCACTTCAGTTTTCGTTCACTTGATCCTTCTGTGTGTCATTTATAAAAATTAGCTCACAATGAACTTTTTTTTATATAGGAATTGTAGTAGTCAATTTCACATAACTGAGCACCGATATGTACACGTCACACCTAAAAACCGAATTGGTTGGAGTGTATAGAATGCAGAATTGTCGTGGATTCAGAGTTTCTCGTATTCGGCATTGGTAATTGTATGGTCATATAACCTAGTGTATCAAGAAATTCAGTAAATACCATGTACGTTTTCTAATCCTGAGGACAACGAAAGCCATCGCTTTCGGTATGTAACTTTTGTTACTTTCTCTTAGCGCATATTATGGTTCATTCTAGGTGCATAGGAAATTCATGTTTTATAAACTAAAATCATTTACTAGGTTCAGGGTTAACATATTCAGCCTACAACTGCCTTGTTTAGTGGCTAGTTATAGCTTCCTGCTGTTCGATTAGCAGTAGAGTTTGAACCTTCAGTCTATTAGCAGGAATTAGGATATTTCAATTACTAAGCAATAGTCTCACTGTAATTCATATTACAGTTGTAAGCTAGTTTATCTATTTCTGTACTAGGTGATGAGACCTGTGCTACAATAAATGGGTCAAACTATTCACATAATTATTAATAAAAACTATGCAGCTACAAGCTTATACTGTACCACGCCCAAATATCAGATATTGAAGCTTTTAATGAAATAGTAGTATTAGTATCAATTTTACGAGTTTTTCAAGTTCCACTTATCAACTGGTCCTCTTTCAATGGTTATTTCAGCCAAACTTTAGATGCTTTTGTAGGTCGATCGGAAGTCAAACGTTGAATTATGTCTTTCTTAAAGTTGGATAAGGTTCTCAGTTTTAAATGCCATTCGGAAAAAGATAATATCGAAATCCACTTATTAAATTTGACCAACCTGTAGGTTACAAAAAATAAAGAGCAAACTGTAAAGAATCAGAAGCTTATTACTGCTCGCTGCTTAGAGATCACCGCATTTAGATGTGTTCTTAGAAGTTGATTGAATCCTTAAAGATTTTCAAAACACAAAACTGTTACCTATCAATTCGTACATATGTTTTCTAATCGTAAACATAAATCAACTATATCGAAACGTTAGATATATAGCACAAAGTTTACAATTTGTGAGTAAAAATGTGGAGAGTTACAGTTTTGTTTCGCTGCAAAGTAGAAAAAAGAGTACAACATGCATATGATTCCTAAGGAAGTAGAAAGGAAGCCGGATATTTTTTCAAGTCAGACTGTATCAGTTTTTGTGCGTCTTTTATTTGTACTAGCGTTAGTATTCCTGTGAATGTATTTTTGTAAAGGTATGTTAGTGGATTATAGGTTTATGTAAATAGTTAAACTAACTATGACCAGTTGCTACTAATTCTTTTTTGAATAATAAGTAGCATCAATTTTAATAATAATAGTGAAGTTTATATACATATATACTGTGATATACTTCCTGTGAATCTCATTATATTGGTGATGTTGAAGCATATTTTGTTTTGTAAATTAATTATAACCAATAGAGAGATATATATCAGAAGAAATAAAGAGGAAAAGACTGAAAGGGTGTTTGTCTGCGTAAACAAATGGAAAGAAATGACCGTTTCGTTAATCAAGTAGTTCTATCAGCATCATAGTTGTTTTCTTATCTCTTAGAATATTTCGGGATTCCTCATACATATAAAATTCACATTTGTAATTATTCGGTTGCAAAGTCGATTTTGCCAATATAAATGAGGGGTTACGAGTACACAAGCTTTAGGTCCTCTGTAATGTTTTTGTTTTTGTGACAGGTAGTATTTACGTTTTATCTGTTTATTAGTTGGTGATCGCCATTTCGTATTGACAGGGTGTCCTTTATCCCATTTTGTAAAACCAACATGTTCTAAATTATGCCAAACCCATGGTCCGCGTGGTTGTGTTTGATGAAGACCTATAATTAAGAAAAAAAGCTTGTAGTTTAGATTTGATCTCACTAGTATTTTATTGCATGTTTTTATATATACATTGTATAAATACGGATTAGAAAATTTAAAATGGAAAACCATTGTCATTTGCTTTACATTGTAATCATCATTCAACTGGGTAACTTATTTGAAGTTTGTACTAAATTCGATTCATGTCTTGTC